CCCTTGCGGCCCGGCCTGGCCCCCTCCCCCGTCTTCCCCCTTCCCCCCGCGGCCTGGCTCTGCCTGGGGCCAGACCCAGTTTTCCTGGGTGACTTTCCCTGTATGTCGCTGACCCCAGTTAACCCTTTTTTCCCACCCGTCTGGGTCTGCTCCTCCGGGGGCTGGGTCCCCCTCCTATCCCTGCCAGACCCAGTTTTCCTGGGTGACTTTCCCTGTATGTCGCTGACCCCAGTTAACCCTTTTTTCCCACCCGTCTGGGTCTGCTCCTCCGGGGGCTGGGTCCCCCTCCTATCCCTGCCAGGGCTGGCACACGCCGCCAGTCTTTCCCTGGGACCTTCTTTCCCAGACTGTGCTGGGCTTACCCGACCCGGCCACCCTCCCCCCTGCTGACTTCTCCAGGGCTGTCACCAACTACTGGGAAAGGAAGTCTGTCCCCTTCCCTTCCCCAGGGGCCAGGACCTCTCGGGCTTGGTGCCCAGTTTCATGTGGTAGACCTGTGGGGGACGTGCTTCACCCGTTGCTGCTGGTTTTGCCCTGGGCATTGCCAGGTGAGGGTGTCTGAGAGGTTTTCTCCCACAAGGGTAGGAGTAGCTGCCCCATGGCAGTGTCAGCTCAGTTAGTACCTTCCCCTTCTCCCTTTTTGAGAGTAATTACTATCTCCCATCCCGAGGGAGAGAGACTTGTCTTTTGACAGCCCTGTGTCCAGTAGTAGCTGTGGAGATGGGAGCTATCAAGAGTTAAGGTGCGCTGTTCCGACATCTTTCTGCCTGGGGTCGGGGACACCTGCCCCAGATAATAGACCTGGTAGCTCTTCTTCAGATAATTGTATTGCACAATCCCTATCCCCTGAAACAAAATATGTCCCATCAACTTCCTGTGTCAAGTAATCTTTCACTGCCATGCACAGTGTGATAACTTTTCTTCAGGCTATTGACGAGGTCAAGGTGGTAATCTCCCTCTTCCCTGCCCCTTACAGCCCCACGCTGGAATAACTACTGCTCACTGCCCAGCACTATGTAAAAATAATCCTCCTCACTCATCAAATTTCATTCTTCCCCAATTTCATGTTAGTTTTGCAGTTGGCTACACCCTTGCCATGCTAATATTCATTCTCCATGCCTTACATCACATGGCTTTTTCTTTTATCAGTAAAAAATTATGCTTCCCTCTGTGCTAAGGATCTAGGAAGAGAAGAAAAAGTCTCTAAATACTTGGCTTAGTCCACTATCTTTGCATTTTTGAGCACGTAGGGGGAATAACTGAGGAAAAAGAAAATAAAGCTTTCAAATATTTTGTCAGATTCTTGCAGGGTAGGGCCATTATTACCTGCAGCACCTATATCCAGGTCTTAAGATGGCTACGAAGTGAAATAAACAAGGCTACGGTTTGAGGGGTGCATTTCTTTTTCTGTCACTACCTACAGAAGGGACCTATTTGGATAGCATCTACTGCAATGACACACTATCTGCTCTGTCTCTTTTAAAAGTCAGGCACTTGGATTATTTGAAACTATCACAAGGAAACAGAGCAGCTGAATGAGCAAAATAGAGCGCTGGACTGTCGAATCTTGCAGCAGAGAAACTGACAACTCTGTTTTCTTGGAACTTTATATGTAGAAAGCTGCTTTAGCGCTAAGACTGTTTGTGTTTTTCTTGTCTAGAACTAACTGCTGTACTGGAAAAACGTGGATTGCCATTTTTGCAAGGTCAAAATGGGCTCTTGTCTGCCTCCTCGTATCTACCATGTGGGAGTTGCCCTGATGCTTTGGACTTCCAAACATTTTTTTTTCTTGGCAACCTTTGCAGAGACCACAAGGTGCCAGAGTCTAAGATAAGCAATAGGGATTCTATTAATATAATTCCAAATCTACTGCAAACTCACAAAAGTAACCTTAGAGACTAGCCTCTAAAATATCAAAATATTGCAAATTCAGAATCTGGTCCATCGTTCAGTCCTTTAGAACAGCATGAACTATGTGTTACGTGGTAGAGTGTATGTCTGTCAGATCTGTGGTACCCCGGCACAAGAGTGAGGCAGCTATATGTTTAAAATGACTAGCAAGGAGCTTAGTAGAGCTTCTGAAATTACAGATGGTTGCTCTTGTCAGTGAGTCAAGTTTATTTTAAATTGTATTGAAAAGTTCTTGTTTTTGACACTGGTTGAGACCTTGTAGACTAAATATTACTGCATTAGATTGCTGTGATCAAATGAGAATACCCTGAAATTACAGTTTTATAAAGAACAGGCTGACTTGGATAT